TGGCCCTTCACTTCGCAGTATTTATTTAAACTCACATTTTTTGGAGTATTGCCCTGGTTATGGTTTCTCATCGTCGTAAGCCTAAAAAAAGGAGTTTTTGGCCGAAAACATGGTTTTTTTTTTAACCTTCAAGAGACAATTTATTCCTATCATAAGATATGAATATTTTTTCAACAGTAAAATCACATAAATTTTTTTGGTCAATAATCGAATATAGAGTATTCCTTTTCAAAAAGTTATTCCAACTTCTAATTCTCTTCATCTTGTTAGGATTACTCAATGTGTGATATTTTTGGGTGGATTAGCTGGGTTTGTTAAACTACATATAAAGGCTGAAAAAAGGAATTAAGACTAAAGTTAAGTTTTTATGATGATACGATAATTGGTTTTAAGGATAGTTCCTCAGGAAAAAGAGAGAAAAATGGCATATTAATTTCATAATGCCCAAAACATTTGATCAATTTAAGAAATCCTATTTTGGTCTCAAGAGACCAAATTGGATTATCATGTTAAATGAAAAGACCAAATTGCTCTTCATTTTATTTATTGCTTTTAAAATACCAAAGCCCCCACTGGCTGGCTGGTTACCGGAGCTCCATTAGTCAGAAAAATTTTTTTTGAAAATTTTCACAACTTCAGTATAACAGTTAACAACTTTTGTAACGTTATTAACAACTGTAGTATAGTAGTTAACAATAGCTTTTTTTGGAAATTCAACAAGCTCCGTCGGTCGAAAAAAATTTTTTTGAAAATTTTTACAACTTCAGTATAACGGTTAACAATTTTTGTGACGCTATTAACAACTCCAGTATAGCAGTTAATAACAAGTTTTCAAGAAAATTCAACAAGCTACAATGGTCGGAAACAATTTTTTTGAAAATTTTTACAATTTCAGTATAACAGTTAACAACTTTTGTGACGCTATTAACAACTTCAGTATAGCAGTTAACAACAGGTTTTTCGGAAAATTCAACAATTGGTCGTCGAAGCTTTAAAGGTTAGAAGCAATTTTTTTGAAAATTTTTACAACATCAGTATAACGGTTAATAACTTTTGTAACGCTATTAACAATTTCAGTATAGCAGTTAGTAATAGGTTTTTGAGTTTGTTAACGGCATTACTAAAGTTGTAAAAATACTACTTTTTGAATTTGCCGAAAACCTGTTATTAACTGCTATATTGAAGTTGTTAATAGAGTTACAAAAGTTGTTAACTGTTATATTGAAGTTGTAAAAATGTTCCCAAAAAAAGTAGTTGTTAAAGTTATAAAAATGCCATTTTTTTGAATTTTTAACAAAACCTGTTGTTAAATGCTATACCAAAATTGTTAATAGAGTTATAAAACTTGTTAACAACATTACTGAAGTTGTGAAAATGTTACTTTTTGAAGTTTTTTAGAAAACTTGTTGTTAACTACTATACTGGAGTTGTTAATAACATTAAAAAAGTTATTAACCGTTATACTGAAGTTATAAATTTTTTTTTTAAAAAAGTAGTTGCTAAAATTGTAAAAATGCCATTTTTTTTAATTTTTAAGAAAACATGTTAAATGCTACACTAAAGTTGTTAATAGAGTTACGGAACTTGTTAACGGCATTATTGAAGTTGTAAAAATGCTATTTTTTGAATTTTTTGAAAAACTTATTGTTAATAGCGTCACAAAAGTTGTTAACCATTATACTGACATTGTAAAAATTTTCAAAAAAATTGTTTCCGGTCACCGAAGCTTGTTGAATTTCCCAATAAACTTGTTGTTAACTATTATACTAAAGTTGTTAATAGTGTCACAAAAGTTGTTAACCTTTATATTGAAGTTGTGAAAATTTTCCAAAAATTTTTTTCCGGCAGCCAGAACTTGTTCAATTTCCCAGAAAACCTATTGTTAACTGCTATACTGAAGTTGTTAATAGCGTCACAAAAGTTGTTAACCGTTATACTGAAATTGTGAAAATTTTCAAAAAAAAATTTTCTGGTCGCCGAACCTTATTGAATTTCCTAAAAAACCTGTTGTTAACTTCTATGCTGAAATTGTTAATAGCGTTACAAAAGTTGTTAATTGTTATACTGAGGTTGTGAAAATTTTCAAAAAATTTTTTTTGACAGACAGAACTTCGATGAACAATTGTCGGCTGGTCACCGGAGCTCCGGTGACTGCCGCCGCCGGAGCTCTGATGACCGGCCAGCCAGCTAGTGAGAGATTTGGTATTTTAAAAACAATAAATAAATTGAAGGGCAATTTGGTCTTTTTATTTAATATGATAATCCCAATTTGGTCTCTTGAAATCAAAATGGAATTTCTTAAATTGAGCAAATGTTTTGGGCATTATGAAGTTAATATTACATTTTTTTTTTTGTCTTTTTCCTTAGTTCTTCTAGGGGGAAAAAACACAAAATAATCTTGCACATAGTTCAACATGTATGAACAGTGTATTTCAATGGTTAAAAAAGGCAACCAAAAAAAAACGGAGCTATACAGTTTAAAGCTTCAATTAATTCCAACACATAGTTGCTACTTTTAATATATACAAAGTAGCTTTTATATTTCAATATGCCTTGCATTTTTGAAAAAATTTGAAGGTTACATTATTTGAAAATCCGAGGTCATATATGGAATTTGAGAAAGTTAAAATGAAATTAAAAAATTAAAACGAACCACTTTTTGGGATGAACCACATAAAAAATATTACACCTGTTTGGTTTTAAAAAAAAAGTATTTTGATGAAAAGAAAACGAAAAAACAAAATGAAAAGGAAAATTTTGGGTTGATTGACAAGGTGTAATTAGAGCTGGGAATTAGGGCCGGCTCGGCCCTTTGGACTGACGGGCTTAAAAGGGCCGGCTTTCTAGGGCTGAAATTTTAAAAATAACCCAATTTGCTGAGCTCGGTCCTTAAGTTATAGAGCTCAAGGCTGGCTTGTGGGCTTTTGGCCAGTTTAAGAAAAAATGCTTTTTTTTATTTTATATTTCTCATATTTTTTTATAAAAAAAAATAAACTAATGAAATTGTTAATAAAAGACATAAATATGAATAAAATTAAGTCACAAATACAAAATATTATCATATATAAATATTCATTAACATCCAAAAACAACTAAAACATTTATTAACAAGATAACAACATCCAAAAATTTTATCTACAGTGTAATTGTGCAATAAATAAACACTATCATTACTTTTTTGAAACTTCATCATCACTATAATCAATTACTCTTCTTCATAAGTATACTTTTCTTTCGTAACAAAAATATCAAGTTTTTCTTCTTTATAGGAATTTTACTTTTAAATTTTGCAATCTAGCTATTATTTTACTTTAATATGAGAAACATTGTTGTTGAAACTCATAAATTTTTTATTCAAATTATAGAATCACAAGTTATAGAAGTATAAAAATACTTTATTATCAAATATATATAGTTTAAAAATATCAACGCATATAATATAAATCAAATCATTATGAAAGTCCAAATTAACCTATTTTTTAAAAATTTAGTTGGATAAATTATTATCTAAAACTAAAAAAATCAAATCATTCTGTAAAATTTAATTTTAAAATGATAATAATAACTAAATATTTAAAATATTATTAACAATGTAAAAAATTAATAATATTAAAATTATATAAAAAAATTTTAAAAAACAAAAAATATATATAAAGGGCCTAAACGGGCCGGCCCTCGGCCCTCCAGGGCTTATTTTTCATTTAAGGGGAAACTTTCAAGCCCGGCCCTCATAATTTCAGGGTCTAAACAAGCTCAGCCTGTTTTCCCGGCTCTAGGTGTAATGACTATAATACCCCTGCTTTGATGTGCATTGCTACTATAAGGCATCAAGGGTTTTGCTGACTCACCTTGGGGTTGCGGGGTGTGGTGGGGACAAGGTGTAATGACTATAATACCCCTGCTTTGGTCTGGACTGCTACTATAATTAGGGGTGATCATGGGCAGGGCTGGACAGGGTATGCTCCCTAGCGATACCCAGCCGAAAGATGAGTGGGCTGTAAATTACAGCCTGTTGCCCAACCTTGCCCATAGAAGCCCTAATCATTTCGGGTTGGACAATAACGGGCTGAGCAGGACGGGCTTCGAAGCCCAATAGTGATGTCTTGGTAAAAAAGTTTTCATCACATTTGTTTCATCTTCTCCTTCTTGTCTTCGGTAAAAAAGTTTTCATCACATTTTTTTTCATCTTCTCCTTCTTGTCTTCGGTCTCTACCTCTCTTACTCTATATTTTGTTTCCATCAATATAATTAGCTATCAACACCTAGAATTATTTTTTAACAAAAAACAAACAAAAGAAAATACACCTGATATGAGATTGGAGAGAGACATAGTGAGCACCTAAAACGAGAGTGGCACACTAAGGCCATGTTTGGTACATGGCATTGAATTTTAAAGGACTGGAACTAGGATTGGGTTTGGGAATGATAGTGGGAGTGGGATTGGGACTGGGGTGTTAAAAATATGTTTGGTATGGAGTGACGTTACGATGGAATAATTGCGTTAAATTTTTTTTATAATAAGTAAAAAATTACCAAAAGACTATAATAACCATGAGTGAAAGAGAGAAGCATGGCCGCCAAAAGTTAGTAAGATATTATTAAAAAATTAAAACATGTTGGTTATCTATTACGTTAAAATTTTTATATTAGTAAAACAAATGAAAAAAAAAATACTAAGTATACAAACTTATATATTATAGTCCGCTTATATATTATAGTTGAAATTTTTATATTAGTAAAAAAAGAAAAAAAAAACTAAAAAAACTAAGTATACGAACTTATATATTATAGTTCGCTTATTTTCAACTTGTTATATTTGATGGATATTGTGAAATTAAATCTCTCACTCACTTTATTGAAAAGAAAATGCTACAAAAGTAGAGTTTAGAGGCAACAAGCTTGCCTATGTACCCAAAAATAAAATAGCTAATAGTAAAAAAAATAGATCTAAAGAATGAGCAATAAAAGTATCTAACATTTAAAATTCAAATAACAGATGTCTAGGATATCATTAAGCGGATTACATCTGCTTTTCCCCTTTGAGGTGTGGCGTAAAATCCAACTAACATGCTCTCATCAGAAATCATTTTGACATAAGCTGAAAGACGCTCTTGATGTGACAGTTCTTCAATTTGCATAAGATCATCATAAAGAGAATCCTTCATGTCATTTAAACGCTTCTCACGTTCAGATAATCCAGTCCTGTTCATGTGCATTGCTAGTCTCTCACTTGCCTCCCTCAAGCCATCAGAAAATGTATGAGCAATCTTCTCAATGCCCTGGAGTAGAAAGTCATCACGATCAGCACTATTTTGCTTTCGCTTTTTTGACCCAACACTTGCATCAGATTGAGTGTGCTCAGTTGGATCTGAATTGTGCTCAGGTGGAATGTTTTCTCGGGGCGAATTGTTCTCATGTGATATATTCATGTTAAGATCATTGTGGTAATCCAAACCACTTTGATTATTGAGCTCTTCAACGACATCATCAAATTGTTGAGACTCATCTCCAGTTGCCCTATCCTTACCATAGATAATATTGAGCTCCTCAAAATAAAGGAAAGGCGTATGCCTAAACTTAGCAGCATTTTTATTTACCTATAAGTAAAAGATATAGAGATGGCACATCAACTCTAGTAAAATATCATTAAGTAAAACAATACATAGATACATATACAATTATAAAATTTTTTTACCTTTATATATTCATCCCAAACTGTTTTGGGTGCTGTCACACATTTTTTGTCAGAGTCCCAACCAAAACCAGATAAATTAAGCAGGTCAGTCACTACACCATAGTGAGTTTTCAGCTTTTTAATCCTAGATTGGATATGAGGCTGTGCTTGAATACGACATCCAGGTATTAGATTGTGAAGCATATCTTTCAATTTATTTATGACACCTGGCCTAAGACCATTGTCACTCATAAGTTCACCCTTCTCATGCATTGCTAGCATGGAATGGATTAATAATTGATCCTCCTCAGGTGTCCACATGTGCTTATCTAACTTTCCAGACTTATCAGACATGTTTGATGAACTAGAGTAAAATATATGTTAGAACCTGACATAAAGTAAACATAAAAAAAAAAGTTTCCAGCATAAATAATGGAAATAATATCTTATAGTGTTAACAATTTTCAAAGTAACAACTCTTTCATCTAGACATCCTATTACAAGTAAAAGTAGTAAACATTTCATTAGCAAGATTATTCCTAAAGGTAGCCCACTCATCAGATGCGTCCATGTGTTGGATTGAGGGATTATACATCCTGTCCACATCAACTTCCATTTCGTCTACTTCATTTTCCAGTGGATCTACACATCTAGACGAATTAAATTGTGCAAGAGGCAACAAGCAATTATTATTTGGTTATAAGTTCGAATAGGATAAAAGGATGGGCTTCTTAGAATAGCCCACCTTAACTTTAAAATACCAAAACACCTCTCAATGACATTTCGTGCAGAAGAGTGTCTCATATTAAAGCACTCTTGTGCATTTCTAGGATATCGCCCCTCTCTCCATTCACTCAAGTGGTATCTTTGTCCTCTATATGGTGCAAGAAATCCCTCACAATTGGCGTATCCAGCATCAACCAAGTAATAGTAACCTTGTGGAACTCTTAATCCATTCCTCCTACTAATTGCATTACGAAGAACCCTTCCATCTGCTGCAGACCCTTCCCAACCAGGTAAAACATATATAAAGTATCCATCTTGTGAGCAAACACCCAACACATTTGTGGTTATATCTCCTTTCCTATTTCGGTATCTTGCCTTGTCTAAAGAAGAAACTCTCAACTTAATATGCGTTCCATCCAATGCCCCTAAACAATGCTGTAAAAAGGAAAAAAGATATCAAAAGTTTTCCACATATGTTAAAAATTAATAATACATACAAAATATGTGTACCTACCTTGAACCACTTCCACTTATCATCATTGGAGTCTTCTGCCACAGGCTCTGCTTTCTTGAACAACACATGTCCAAGTCTCATCATTCCATTAAGCACGGAGTTGAAATGCCTACTAATGGTTTCTCCAGATCTACTAAAGTTATACTGTATTACTCTATTCTTTACATGATGTGCTAATATGTGCAAGAATATGGCAACTTGCTCATCTATAAGCATATTCTTACTAGGCTTAAGACCACCCACATCCGTTAGCATGGAACATAGCTTATCAAATGTTGACCTATGCATTCTAAGTAGGTTGTAACATGCTATGTCACTACTATACACCAATCTTTAAATAAGCTCTCTTAGCAACAAAATCCATTTTGTAAGGTACATATTTGATTCGTCGCCTCGTTAGCATGACTATCATACACACACAAATAAAAAACCCATGTATTGCCTCAGCCATGCTCAGCCACCAAAACAACAAACATAATCGTACTCTCCTTTCTTCAGGTAGTGTCATAACTGTGCAACCAATCATATAGAAACATAACAAAATTTTGTTAAATTGGGACTTATATATGTTACTAATTTAGTAGAATCAACTTCAACGAAAATTTTTTTGGATGTGCCTTCTTCGTTATTCAGAACTATACTCCATTGTTGTTTAAATTATTTTGATGAAAACACCATCCATTAACTTGAAGTAATATATGTGTAATTTAAATTACACTGAAGTAAAATAAAATATGTATGTTTAATAAAAAATTTCAAAACACAAGGGCAATTTGTATTTTTCTTAAAATTGTAACACCACATCATTCAATATAACCTATGTTTTAGTTTTTCATTCCATGATATGCTTTAAAATTATATATTGACACTTTCCCAAAAGAAAGAAAAAAAAAGAAATCTTTAATAAAAACCAATTCTCTTAGCCGAAAAGGTAAAGCAATAATATATTGATAAAATATAACATCTAATCAATCCATACGAGACAAAGACAAAATTGAGTTAATGAATATGAAAGTCAAACGAAGAAGGAAATTAAAGAGAGGGAGGGTGAGAAAATATTAAAGCACACGCACTGCACAATCAGATGAGGAATAACAAAGCAAGTGAGAGAAAAGATGAATATGTAGGCCTGAACCAGAAATAACGAACAGTGCAGGAGGGTGCGACAAAACAAATTACCTTTGATGCGACTTTCTTGATGGTGAGAACGACGGCTACCAACGGTGAGAGTAGAGGAGCAATGGAGAACAAGAAAGGCAATAAAAATTCCACGATGAGAAGCTAGGTCAAAAATAAGAGGGGTAATCTTGTACAAAAATTATAATAAATAGGGATATTTTGGTCTCCACAATTTTCAATCCCAGGATTGCAAAAGCAATACCAGGGGGAGAGGTGGTATTGTTCAAGCCCACCTACGTGGTATTATGGAAGCCCAGGTTATCATCTATCCCACGTACCAAACGATACAAAATGACTCAATCCCTGATCCAATGCCAAGCCCAAGCTCCCAGTCCTTTGTACCAAACAGTGCCTAAGAGTCTGAGACTAAGAGTGAGAAGGAAGTGAGGAGGAAGAGATTGAGAGACGGTGAGAGACAAAGAGTGAGAGACTGAGTGTCGCTGCCTCACTGGAGTGAGCAATTGAGAGGGCTCTTAGTTTGAGCTGCTGAGGCTTGCGAGTAGAATGATAAAAGGGGGAGGAAGGGGAGCGCAGCAGGAGCAGGGGTTTAGGATAGAAGAATAATGTATATATTATTATTATATATATTTTTTATATTAATATTATATATTTCTGTAAAAAAATTATAAATATATATCACGGGTAGGGCCAAACGGGCAGGCAGCATACCCTGCTTGCAGCTCGGTCTTGTCCGTCATATGCCCAGTCCAAAAATGCCCTTTTTTTTTTAAGCTGGGCTGGACGATTTTTTCCCGGGCTTAGGCGAATATACCGGGCTAATGGACTTGATGAACAACCCTAACTATAATGAGGCAAGGGGTTTTGCTAACTCACCTTGGAGTTGCGGGGTGTGATGGGGACAAGGTGTAATGACTATAATACCCCTGCTTTGATCCGAACTCCTACTATAATGTGCCAAGGGGCTTTGCTGACTCACCCTTAGGTGTGGTGGGGACAAGGTGTAATGACTATAATACCCCTGCGTTGATACGAACTCCTACTATAATGTGCCAAGGGGCTTTGCTGACTCACCCTTGGTTAGTGTGGTGGGGACAAGGTGTAATGACTATAATACCCCTGCGTTGACACGAACTCCTACTATAATGTGCCAAGGGGCTTTGCTGACTCACCCTTGGTTAGTGTGGTGGGGACAAGGTGTAATGACTATAATACCCCTGCGTTGACACGAACTCCTACTATAATGTACCAAGGGACTTTGCTGACTCACCCTTGGTTGGTGTGGTGGGGACAAGGTGTAATGACCATAATACCCCTGCGTTGATACGAACTCCTACTATAATGTTCCAAGGGGCTTTGCTGACTCACCCTTGGTTAGTGTGGTGGGGACAAGGTGTAATGACTATAATACCCCTGCTTGTTGGAGAAAAGGCCAACGAGCTCTCACCTCTGCGAGGTAATAAGTCAAAAGGGCGGGACCCAAGGTGCAATGACCATATACGATTCTTCGTGGAAATGGGAAGGAGCTCTCACCATTAAAAACCCAAACACCCCCCCCCCCCAAAATAAAAAACCAAAGAAGCAAGTTGGACCCTATTTCGCCTGAAAATCTCGCCAATCCAGCGACCATGCCTTCCGGCAGGTTAATTACTATGTCATCGATGTCATTTATTTTCTATTTCTCCTCTTCTCGCCAGTTTCCTTGTTCTAATATCTATCCTATCTCAATTTGTTCATTAAAGGGTACTTTCAGGTTCGGATCTTGCCGCTTCATTACTTCCCATTCATGGTTATTCAACCGGATTGCTGCTGGCTTTGGTGGAAATAAAGTTCCAAGGATTGAACACCACTCCCTTCCAACAACACCCTGCTCTGATGATTCTCTTTCTCATAGCAATCACTGTCTACGTCATGGCACTCTTAGTTCTGAGATCAGATCACATCAGCCAGCAACAGTTCTCCAAGTTAAGAATGGTTTTGATTTTGATTTGCCATGTCTGTGGAGGCGTTGCTTGTGAGCTTCTCTTGTTGGTCATCGTGTCTCCGATATGGAGCTTCATCATCAACGTCTCTTCACTCTTGTTGCTTCTGGCATTGCTCGTCTCCTACTATTATCTCTTCCCACCGTCTCAAGAAGAGGAGGAGCAACCTCCTGAAATCACTGACCCTGAAGCTGCAATTACTCCTGATGCTTGAATTAAAACGTTTGTTTGGCTTGAGGGGAATCGAGAAAAGAACAAATTTTGATAAGTTCATTAGAGATGGAGATTTTTTTTTCCCAAAAAAATGAACCTCCTGCCCGTTTCCTTCTAAATTTTTGCCTTTATTAAACTTAAACTTATTAAAGTTTTTTCACCCCTCAATTTCTCTCAAACCAAACAAACTACAAGTGGAATTCTGTACCATTCAAATGGATTTCACGCAGTGAAATTTAGTATTTGAATGAATTATATATTTTAGGTCTATTTTATCTACACAAAAAAAACAAGATGAAAAAAATTGATCTTTTTTTTTTTTTACCTGGTCCGAAAAAATGATATAGATCATAGGTGCTGTATTGAAGTCAAAGTTGAGAGCCACACTGTAAATTAGGGGATAAGATTTTCATTTGTATCCCAATTTGTTTTTGTTCTTATTATTTAAGTGTGATTACGTTGCTTGTTGTATACTTTGCATCTTCTCATGGGGGTCTATCATCTTCTCAATCTTTACTTGGCCCAACTTATTGAAATGCCGCTCGCTATGTGGCTTCCTTTTCTTCTTTTTTAATTTTTTGGGCCACTTCTACTCTCAACGTCTTCAAAGTGGAGCCTATACGGTAGGCAGAATGCTACATGTACAATTTCTTGTATTCACCAACTAGTGTTGGTCCAAGTGGAAGGGACTTGGGCCCCTTAAACATCATGTCCTGGGTTCGATCCTTGGGGCGGTACGTATGGAAAAAATACTGTTGGGAGGGGTCCCCGCTACGGCGCCTGACAGTACCCCGAGAGATTAGTCTCTTACCGTTCGGGTGGGGGAGGATTCTCTGGGAAACCAAAAAAAAAAATTTCTTGTATTCCTGTCAAACTTTTGGAGCCTAACCAGGCCCAGCGAATTATTGGGCTACGGCCCAGAAGAGTTTAGTTTAACAAATTCTAGTTTAACTTCGTCATGCTATATTAAAAAACAGAAAAAACTTCCTTGTTAGCTGGGGAAAATAGGAGATTTTAACAGAAGGCCTAAAACAAAAGGTCAAGAAAATGATTTTTTTTTTTTTTGAAATAACTTGAAGACACTATTTATCAGTTAAATCACGTACAAATTTTTTGGTCAATATTCGAATATAAAGTGATCCTTTGACAATTTCATCCATTTCCTTCAAGCGTTTTTCTAGATAAAATGTCAATTATCTCACATTTCTTCCCCCGTCAACTGGATCGAGATAGGATGGGGACAAGACCGAGGCGAAAAAAATCTATAATGGAAAACAGAAGCACAATTCGAACCAATCTCGTCCGTGGTTTTGTGGAATGAACATTCTATGATGCTGTAGGTTTCGAGATTTGGTATCCTCACTTGTCTCCTACTCGATTCATTCCATTCTCATTCATATAAAACAAAAACCAAAGTGGGAAGGCACCAACAGAGAAGAAGAGAAAGCACATATAGAATTGAAGCGAGAGAGATACGGGGGGACGGAGGCGACAAGAGCGAGCAAGAGATTGAGAGAGAGATAATAAACGAGACTGGGGAGAACGGCCGCAAGCAATAAGACTACAGAAGCAAACGCACCTCAGGAGGACGATGGCGTTAGGACGGACGGAAAGTCAAGGACGACGGCGACGACCGTGAGAGAGGGAGAAAGGAGCGTCGATCTGTGAGAAAAGCAGAGAATCTAAGACCTCGGATCTTGTTTTATGGGCAAATTATTGACTGACGTAACAATATTTTTTTTTTGTTTTTACCAGCTGAAGTAACGAGATGTATAAGCATTACCACGTTTAGATTGGCGGATGTCAGAATTAATTGTCAAATACTGAGCATTTATTATTCTTATTTACTATTAAGAGAAGATATTTTTTTTATTTTATTTATAAAGCAGTAAGAAATTTTTTTATATGAATTTTTAATTTTATCATTTATTTATTATTATATTTACTTTATTTACA